TCTTTGGTTCGAGAAGTTGGAAGTCGTGGTGTTGATGAAGATTCTCTGATGAGCAAATGGGATGCAGTGCAAGTGGAGAAAGAGACTCAAATTGATCAGAAGTGGAGTGTCTTGCGAGCCAAGGAAATTGATTTGTGTCACAATAGAGTAAGTTTTTGAAGGAGGTGGTTTCTATTATCCGTGGAGAATCATCATCATCAACATCATCATCCTAATTTATGAAGCCCCTGTTCGCGAGTTTGTCACAGCCGCAACAACTATGATCTAATATTTACTCTTGCATCTCTTTCATTTCTTCATCATCTTTCCTAATTACAATAACCGCGGCTAAAAATCTAATGATTTGGAATCACTGGAAGAAAAAACGACACAACATAACTCTTAGATTCAGAGGAGCGGCTGTCTTATGTGTTCATAAAATCAAAATCTCATCATATATTTTTTATAGATTTGTTAATATCTTCAATCTAAACAAGAGAGACATTGTAGATGCTTCGTTATGTACAATGTACAGTTTCATTCTTAAAAATGCTTATAATTTCAATATATAGATAAATAAAAAGATTTTAAAACTGGATGGTTGGCAATATGAATGGCAGCTTTGTTATCACACTGAAATGGAACCGGCCTTGGCTGCACTACAGAAAAAATCGAGAACAGGATCTAGCCATTTACAACAAAAACATCAATAATACCACAAACAGCCAAAACATGTAATTAAAAACACAATTAAGCCACAGAAAACTTGTGTCGGTCGACGCCAACAGCTGGCGTCCGTCGACACCCCCACATCGTGTCGGTCGATACAACAGGACATCATTATGAAACTGCACCGCGATCAACCGACTGGTGTCGATCGACACCCACCCCACACCCTATAACACCTCCAATGACGATCTCATCCATCAAAGAACCCTAATTCAGGAGTGGGATAAGGTAGATGAGATCCGTGTGCTAATGGGTATGATAGAATACAAAAAGCTACTAGAGAAGAATCCTTTTGATGATTTCAAGAAAACTTACAGATTCATAAGGGAGAGTATACAATATATAAGCCTTATAGCCAATAATTCATAGATAAGATGACAAATTTTAAGAATAAACTAATGGATTAAAGAAGGATGAAGGCTGAAGTATCGTCTTCCTCAAAAGCGTACAACCAAACAAGTTTTAAATTATTGACACTGATTTGGGGAAATGATGATGTGGATCCTCCTGTCGTTGAGAAAAAAAAGAAGAGTAAGGAGATTGCAAAACTTGAGAAGAGAAGCAAGAAGCAGTGATGATTCGTGAAGGAGAGAAATGGCTTGAGGATGCGTCTTTGGTTCGAGAAGTTTGAAGTCGTGGCGTTGATGAAGATTCTCTGATGAGCAAATGGGATGCAGTGCCTGTGGAGAAGAAGAATCAAATGGATCAGAAGTGGAGTGTCTTGCGAGCCAAGGAAATTGAATCTGTGTCACAAAAGAGTAAGTTTTTAAAGGAGGTGGTTTCAATTATCCGTGGAGCATCATCATCATCAACATCATTATCCTAATTTATGAAGCCCATGCTCGGGATTTTATCACAGCCGTAGCGAGTGTGATCTAATATTTACTCTTGCATCTCCTTCATTTCTTCATCATCTTTTTTAATTACAATCACCGCGACTAAAAATCTGATGATTTGGAATCGCTGGAAGAAACAGCGACACAACCTAACTCTTAGATTCCAAAGGAACGGCTATCTTATGTGTTTATAAAATCAAAATCTCATCATATATATTTTTATAGATCTAATATTATCTTCAATCTAAACAAGAGAGAGCCTATATATGGTTGGTTATGTACAATATTCAGTTTCACCCTTAAAATGCTTATAATTTCAATATAGAGATAAATAAAAAGATTTTAAAACTTGATGGTTGGCAATATGAATGGCAGCTTTGTTATCACACAGAAAGGGAACCGGTCTTTGCTGCACTACAGAAAAAATCGAGAAGAAGATCTAGCAATTTACAACAAAACATTAATAATACCACAAATAGCCAAAACATGTAATTAAAAGCACAAGATAAGTTCACAGAAAACTTGTGTCGGTCGACGCCAACAACTGGCGTCCGTCTACACCCCCACATCGTGTCGGTCAGTACAACAAGATATCACCATGAAACTGCAGCGTGATCAACCAACAGGTGTCGATCGACACCCATCCCACACCCTATAACACCTCCAGTGACGATCTCATCCATTTAACAACCCTAATTTCAGCACTAGATAACTTCCCGCAATGACAAAACAAAGGAACAACCACATAAGGCCATACAAACACCATAAATCATAACAAAACAAAAAGAAATCAATCCACGCATCGCATAAACACAAATCACACAACCTTGATGTTTAGATAAGCCATGACCACACACACACACCTTGAAACAAGAAGATATGTGGAGTCATATACACATAGAGAAACAAGAACATCTGTGGACTCAACACCACACCCAGAATTAATTGCACAAACCAAACAATTACTAAAATCAAACCGATTAACCGCCAAAATAAGTGGTGTCAACTGACACCCTCCCTTGGTGGCGATCGACAATAACTAAAAATTGGGACAGGGGCGTTGTAATTCTCCCCCTCTAATATAGATTCGTCCTCAAATCTGCAATAATCGTCTATCTGCAACACGCACTTTACCACAATCACAACAATTCGCCTAACAACGTTACAATTCGATCAACACAACCAGTCTTGATATTGAACACCATCATACTTCTGCAACCATCACGATGGTATGAACCATTTATGATCCTTCAGCCAACACAACCCTGGCCCAACGGCCAACACAGTTGTGGCCCACCAGCCAACTCAAGTCTGGCCCACTACCAACACAACCCTCACCCCATCGGTCAACAAAATCCGAGTGCGAGATTAAACCAATATCAATCTCAAAGGTCTCCATATAGTCACTATGCTTATACTAACGCTCCAACTCATTCACTCTCAGGTCATGAACTTAGAACCATACCGATACTAGGGGAACCACCATTTTCTGTTCTAAATTTTAAGATTTCACACCAATGATAATAATTAACCCTCAATAATTATATATCGTTTGATAATAACATGTCTTTTAGTATTTTCAAAGAAATATAGAAAAAGTAAGAAGAGAACTTAAAAATAGAGAAAAAGCTTTTTCGATGCATGCATTTTTTATATAAATAAATATCCTCTCTATTTGTTGTTAACTCGTAACTTAAAAGGAATCTGAAACGTCTCACTTGAAACTCACTACTAACAATGGCAACTAAAAACCTAAACCAATGTGAAACTTTTTCAGGCTCCTACGAGTCTTCCTCCTCCGAGGAGTAAGACGAACAAACATCTGCTCCATCCACTACAACTGTTTATGAAGCCACCTTAGGAGATAAGCTCCGAGGAAGAAGAAAAGGACAGTGGAGAGATAAGCACCAAGGAAGAAGAAGAGACAATGGAGAGACAAGCTCCGAGGAGGATGAAGCGTTTTCTGAAGAAGGAGAGCCCACAAAGGAACAAACTCCGTCCAAACCTGAAATAGTCGAGGAGAAGGAGATTTCTGTTTCTTAAGCGGAAGAAGATGAGAAAAATTATGAAGACAACTCCGCGGATGACGAGGAAGAAATTCCAATGAAGGAACAACAAACTCCTTTCAAAGCTGCCAAGTTAGCTAAGGAGAAGGAGATATGTGTTTCCGGCAAGGTACAAAAGCATGTGAGTGAAGGGACTTCGTCAGAAGACATGAGTGCTGCAAAGAAAGTGAAACCGAGTGTAAAGAGGTCTGTTCCTACTCAAATGTGAAGCAAAGAAGATGAGTTGCTTCTATTTCAAGGAATCATTCATTGCAAAATTGGAACAGGTACAAAATTTAACCCTAGTGTTCGTGAAGAGATCTACAACTTCATCAAGGAGTCTATCAGTTTTCAGGTTTGTTTAAAACAATGCACATAAAAGATTGCAGCAGTTAGAAGTACGTATCTAAAGAAACTGGACAGTGCTAAGAAACCATCGGAACCTCAATATCTTAAAGCTTTTGAACTCGCTAAGGTAATTTTGGGGTTGTCGGGAACATGTGCTGGTTAGGAATCAAGAAGAAGTAAGACAATTCAGAAGCTTGAATAAGAGAAGGATGTGATGATTCATGAAAAAGGAGGACGGTTGTTTAGGAACTCGATTTGGTATTGTGTGGTAACTATTCTTGGCATGGAGAAAGATAGAGTGAAAAAAACTGGTCTTATTTTTCAGAAGAGAAGAAGAAGATAATCTTGGACCAGTGGAGTGACTTGGAAGCCAAAGACGACAAAATTGTCTATCAAAAGACTGCCTATGTGGATGATTTTATCTCTATGATTGTTGAAGCATCACCATCCCATTCGATGCACTACTATGATTTTTCTCTCTCTCTTTTCATTTGTCTTTTGAACTTTGGATTTCCGTTTATGGTTTTTCTGGTTGTTTTGTATCGGATTATGCTATTTTTACATTTCTGGTTTATATTATGGACTTGATTTTGTTTTGGATTGTTAACTTTTCTATGTTAAGATGTTATTGGTTTTATCTTTCGCTTATTTGAATCTTTGCTATTTGATATCTGATACAACTTTGATGTGTTTCTTGCACAAAAGTTTAGTTAATCTGAAAAATTTAAAGGATAAGTTCTTCTTCTTAGTTAAGGCACAACTGCTACATTTTCAGTTCAAAGAAAGTCTAAAAAATTAAACAATTAGAGAATTTCTACCAATTTCGACACTATTATGATTGGGCTTAGAATGATTTATGTACTTGCCCTATCACGTCCCATTAAGAGCCCAATAAAAAATGCGTCTATGTCGTTTCTTCTCTTTTTTGTTCTCAATCCTTTTTCTCTTCCCCTCTTTTATCCAAAAATCTAGAAACCCACATACGTCCAGTGAGTTGTAGGATTAGGCATCTATGAAATCTCTCTTTCACTCTCTATAAGAGAAACAAAAACATTTTTTGAGAATGGGAAAAGTGAATACGAACAAGTCCAAGAAGAAGGAGGTTTGTGGTGGTTCCACTGCAGCTCAGCTTACTTTGAAGAAGCGGAAGAACGAAGGGACGTTGTTAGCGAACAGAGACGTGAATGCCAAGAAATCAAAGAAGGTTGGGAAAAAGGTGTGTTCTCAAAGGTTGGAGTTGTAAGTGCAACAAAGATGCGTGGACTTGCTGGAACAAGCCAAAACTGATGTGGACAATAAGCTAACATACTTGATGACGTGGAGGGCCTAAGGAAAGAAGAGTCTGTCTTAAGAAAGACGATATTTGTTTAAAGATTTGGTGGTATCTAAGATCGAAACACTAACTTAGAGGTTCGAGCAACCTTATGGATAAAAAAGGGGTTGTGGTGATGCTTGCTATCGTTAGCCGTTCAAGTATAGAAAAAGTGTTGCTAAGCTTATTCTTTTGAGAGAGTAGTGTTACGATGTTTCGGAAAGCAAGAAGGGTAAGAAAGAGAGTTGTTCTTTAGATACATTCTTGTTTAAGGTTTGAATCTCAGGTGACCAGCTAAATTGGCTCAGGCTGTGTGTAAAACCAGTTGAGAGAGCTGTAAACTTATTAGTTAGATTTCTAATAAAGAATATAACTCAGTGGTTCTGAGTTTTGGTTACTTGTTGCGAATTCATCCAGTTTTTCAGGAGTGGGATAAGGAAGATGAGATTCGTTTGCTACAAGGTATGATAGAATACAAAAAGCTACTAGGGAAGAATCCTTTTGATGATTTCAAGAAAACTTACAGATTCATAAAGGAGTATATAATATATAAGCCTGATAGCCAAGACTTCGTAGATAAGATGAGGAATTTTAAGAATAAACTAATGGATCAAAGAAGGATCAAAGCTAAAGTATTGTCTTCCTCAAAAGCTTACAAGCAAACAAGTTCTAAATTGGTTACACTACTTCGCGGAAATGATGATGTGGGTCCTTCTACCGTTGAGAAACAAAAGAGGAGTAAGGAGATTGCCAAGGTTGAGAAGAGAAGCAAGAAGCCGTGATGAGTGGTGAAGGAGAGAAATGGTTTGAGGATGCGTCTTTGGTTCGAGAAGTTGGAAGTCGTGGTGTTGATGAAGATTCTCTGATGAGCAAACGGGATGCAGTGCTTGTAGAGAAGAAGAATCAAATTGATCAGAAGTGGACACACCCACATCGTGTCGGTTGATACAAAAAGACATGAATAGTGCGGACATTGATTATCATGTCCAACCCGCTGATTTAGATCAGGTACCAGAGCCTGTACCACACACTGTACCAGTCGTCTCAAAAGGTCCCATGACTCGTTCAAAGTCTAAACAACTTAGAAACAGGTTCGACTTAGGTGTACAAGACATTGTGATCTCATTAGAGCTGAACTACGTCAACTGGTCTGTACCACCTTTACCTCAACGACCATCTTTCCTTCACAAGAGAGAAGCGACCGCTATCTTGTGAACCCATCATATATATCCTAATACAGGCTCACCATCGAGTCTTGTATCAATGAAACTGCATCGCGATCAACCGACTGGTGTCGATCGACACCCATCCCACTCCCTATAACACCTTCAATGACGATCTCATCCATCAAAGAACCCTAATTTCAGCACTACATAACTTCCCGCGATGAAAAAACAAAGGAACAGCTACACAAGGCCATACAAACACTATAAATCATAACAAAACAAAAAAACATCAATCCACGCATCACATAAACACAAATCACACAACATTAATGTTTAGATAAGCCATGATCACACACACACACACCTTGAACCAAGAAGATATGTGGAGTCATATACACATAGAGAAACAAGAAGATGTGTGGACTCAACACCACACCCAAAATTAATTGCACAAACCAAACGATTACTAAAATCAAACCGATTAACCGCCAAAATTAGTGGTGTCGACTGACACCCTCCCTTGGTGGCGATCGACAATAACTAAAAATTGGGACAGGGGCGTGTAATTCTCCCCCTCTGATATAGATTCGTCCTCGAACCTGCAATAATCGTCTATTTGCAACACGCACTTTACCACAGTCAAAATAATTCGCCTAACCATGTTACAATTCGATCAACACAACCAGTCTTGATATTGAACACCATCGTACTGCTGCAACCATCACGATGGTATGCACCAATTATGAACCTTCAGCCAACACAACCATGGCCCAGTGGCCAACATAACAATGGCCCAACAGCCAACACAGCTGTGGCCCACCAGCCAACTCAAGCCTGGCCCACTGCCAACACAACCCTCACCCCATCGGTCAACAAAATCCGAGTGCGAGATTGAACCACTATCAATCTCAAAGGTCTCCATATAGTCACTATGCTTATACTAACGCTCCAGCTCATCCACTCTCAGGTCATGAACTTAGAACCATATCGATACTAGGGGAACCACATTTTGTGTTCTAGATTTTAAAATTTCACATCAGTGATAAAAATTAACCCTCAATAATTATATATCGTTTAATAATATCAGCCTTTTATTGTTCCCAAAGAAATAAAGAAAAAGTAAGAAGATAGCTTAAGAAAAGAGAAAAAGCATATTCGATGCATGCTTTTTTATATATATAAATATCCTCTCTATTGGTTGTTAACTCGTAACTTAAAAGGAATCTGAAACGTCTCACTTGAAACTCGCTTCTAACAATGGCGACTAAAAACCAAAACCAAAGTGAAACTTTTTCAGGCTCCTACGAGTCTTCCTCCTCCGAAAAGTAAGGTGAAATCTTCTTCTCAAGGAGAAGAAGAAGAAGAGGACAGTGGAGAGATAAGCTCCGAGGAAGAAGAAAAGGACAGTGGAGAGACAAGCTCTGAGGAGGATGAAGCATCTTCTGAAGACGAAGAGCCCCCGAAGGAACAAACTCCGTCCAAACCCGAAATAGCCGAGGATAAGGAGATTTATGTTCCGTAAGCGGAAGAAGACGAGAAAAGTGATGAAGACAGCTCCGAGGAGGACGAGGAAGAAGTTCCAATGAAGGAACAACAAACTCCTTCCAAAGCTGCTGAGTTAGCTAATGAGTAGAAGATATGTGTTTCCGGCAAGGTAGAAAAGCGTGTGAGTGAAGGGAATTCATCAGAAGACATGAGTGCTGCAAAGAAAGTGAAACCATGTATAAGGAGGTTGGTTCCTGCTCAAATGTGGAGCAAAGAAGATGAGTTGCTTCTACTGCAAGGAATCATTCATTGCAAAATTGGAACATGTACCAAATTTAACCCTAATGTTTGTGAAGAGATCTACAACTTCATCAAGGAGTCTATCAGTTTTGAGGTTAGCTTAAAAAATGCACATAAAAGATTGCAGCAGTTAGAAGTACGTATTTAAAGAAACTGGACAGTGGTAAGAAACCATCAGAACCTCTATATTTTAAAGCTTTTAAACTCGCTGAGGAAATTTCGGGGTTATCGGATACATGTGCTGGTTAGGAATCAAGAAGAACTGAGAGAATTCAGAACCTTGAAGAAGAGAAGGATGTGATTATTCATGGAAAAAGAGGAGGGTTGTTTAGGAACTCAATTTTGTATCGTGTGGTAACTATTCTTGGCATGGAGAAAGATAGAGTGAAAAAAACTGGTCTTATATTTCAGAAGAGAAAAAGAAGATAATCTTGGACCGGTGGAGTGACTTGGAAGCCAAAGACGACGAAATTGTCTATCAAAAGACTGCCTATGTAGATGATTTGATCTCTATGATTGTTGAAGCATCATCATCACATTCGATGCACTACTATGAATTTTCTCTCTCTCTCTTTTTATTTGTCTTTTGAACTTTGGATTTTCGTTTATAGTTTTTCTGGTTGTTTTGTTTCAGATCAACCGACTGGTGTCGATCGACACCCATCCCACACCCTATAACACCTCCAATGACGATCTCATCCATCAAAGAACCTTAATTTCAGCACTACATAATTTCCCGCGATGACAAAACAAAGGAACAACCCCCACAAGGCCACAAGGCCATACAAACACCATAAATCATAACAAAACAAAAAGAAATCAATCCATGCATCACATACACACAAATCAGACAACCTTAATTTTTAGATAAACCATGAACACACACACACACACACCTTGAAACAAGAAGATATGTGGAGTCATACACATATAGAGAAACAAGAAGATTTGTGGACTCAACACCACACCCAGAATTTAATTGTACAAACCAAACGATTACTAAAATCAAACCGATTAACCGCCAAAATTATTGGTGTCGATTGACACCCTCTCTTGGTGTCGATGGACACCCTCCCTTGGTGTCGATGAACACCCTCCCTTGGTGTCGATCGACAATAACTAAAAGTTGGGACAGGGGCGTTGTAATTCCCCCCCCCCCTCTAATATAGATTCCTTCTCTAATCTACAATCATCGTCTATCTGCAACATGCACTTTACCACAGTCACAACAATTCACCTAACAACGTTACAATTCGATCAATACAACCAGTCTTGATATTTAACACCATCAAACTTCTGCAACCATCACGATGGTATGCACCATTTATGACCTTTCAGCCAATACAACCCTGGCCCACTGGCCAACATAACAATGGCCCAATAGCCAACACAGCTGTGGCCCGCCAACCAACTCCAACCTAGCCCACTGGCCATCACAATGCTCACCCCATCGTTCAACAAAACCCGAGTGCGAGATTGAACCACCATCAATCTCAAAGGTCTCCATATAGTCAATATGCTTATACTAACGCTCCAACTCATCCACTCTCAGGTCGTGAACTTAGAACATACCGATACCAAGGGAACCACCATCCCCCTATGAGAACCACCATCCCCTCCACACGAGAACCAACATCTCCTCTGCCACTCTCAGGACCGCAGCCCTTCAAGCCGTCGGTATCTCGGAAAACCACCATCCCTCAAGAGAACCACCATCTCTTCTTGAGTTGTTTAGGACCCATCGTCGTAAGTGTAAACAAACTATAACGTCTCTAAGCATCTCCTGATTAGAATTATCCCACAAAGTCCAAGTAAGACATAGCAATGCTATACCTACCCATCCATATGCCCACCCAAAATATCATTTCCACTTTGACCAAACTCCAGGTCAGCTTCCAAACATCTCTGCCACTTAGGGTGTTTATACAATAGTCTCAAACGTAACTTATCGGGAATCAGTGTCCAACAAATCCACCCCCGAATACCTACGCTCCGCACCACGACCACCACAGCCACCACAATTACTACGAGCACCACCCTCGCAACCTCTAGCCTCCAACATTGCCACAAGCAAAAACTTGGAACATAATCGATAAGAGAAAACACAACACACAACAACATACAAAGGAACCTCATTGACGGATTGAAGAGGATGATATGAGGTCACCATGCTCAATCAATTGACTAACCAATTATAATCAATACTAGCATGATACCACCAAGAATCACACAACAGTTCACAACATGCAATGGGAATATAATTCACCAATTAAATTTCTAAATCGTTCCATATATCAATCTTTTAACCATGACATTCACAAACCATCCATGACCACCATTTAACGCAGCCCTAGAATCGTAAGAGCTCTGATACCAAATTGAAAAGATCCGACCTGTTTTTTGTAATTCATTAATTAATGGTCTCATACCTACTAATTAACATGATCGAAATAATTATGCAAAGCGTAAAAAATTGAAACTAACACCAATTAATCTTATATTAATTAACAAATAATTTAATCACTACAATTTACACTAACAACCTAGTAATGGAACTGAAAGAAACTTAATCTTGTAACTCTTAAATCCTAATTGGAACAACTAAACTTCCAAATGGCAGCGGTGCCCAATTGATAGTAGGTTTTTACCCATTTTGGTATCAGTCACCAGTACAATTGAAGTATAAAGGGTTTTATCGAACCATATGGAAGACGTGTAAACAATCGGGATTATAACAAAAGTAAACAAGTCAAACCAATTAAAAAGCAAGTTTATAACCAAACTACATAATTACTAAACAAAAAGCAAATGAAACTAAAGCAACATGAACAAAGCATAAATTACAGAAATGAAAGCTAAGCATGCAAGAGCTACAGAAACAGAAACTAAGCAAGGTAAAGCAATCAATTAACAGTAGGTTCCGAGGATGGGGTACTCTATAGCAACCTAGATCATCTAAGTTCTCCACCTACATTTATCCCATCCTGAGATCCTAAGTTCACTACTCAGATCTAAGAAACATGCTCAAGCACACAAACCTAGAAAACATTGAAACTTGCATAATCAGATAGACCTAAGAGAGATAAGCAAGATTAAACAAAGAACCAACAACAACTTCCTAATAGATCAGAAGATATCAAGTTTACAAGTCTTTGGAAATCTAAAGCATAAAAGAGAAAAACTTAGAAAAAAATCTTGATTCTGCAGCCATTAGCCAAGAGGCCTATAGTATACAAGTGAAGCAAAACAAAAGAAATATACACAAATGATCAAGTAAGGGGACCTAGGATGACCTTAATGATTTACGTTGATATATATACATATTCTAATGGGCTTTAAAACATAAGCTAGCCCATATACCTATATATCACAATAAACTTTCTTCGGTTTCTCCTTGTAGAAATTGTGTTTATGATCTCACGATCATGGGTCTTAAATATGGTATACGGTTGAACGGCTTGGAGGTTGTGGAGAAGGATATTTAGCATTCTTTACATACATAATGATTACAAACTAGTGGTGGATCAAACTGTCGAGTGAGGATGTATTATCATAAGCCTCCCAAACATCTCGAGCTTAGACTTCTTTGTCTTTTATTGCTCCTACATCTCTTCATGAGGTCATTCTTTATCCACTATCTCAAAAATTTCTTGACAATTATTTCATTGAATCTAGACTAAAATGTAAACATATTTGTGAATATTAATATTCCTAAGGTAGTACTCACGGGATTACACGATTAATTCGTAATTGTGTCTTACAAAAACGAAACAGTGTACAAAGGATATACGATTTAAGACTTAGCAAAGACAATACCATCTTTTGAGATATAGAATATATCAATGGCTCTTATAATTTTTTAATTTGTGTCTGACACATTTACGATGCTCCACCTTTGGTAACTCCAACTTAACAGCTTTAATCAGCCCCTGAACCACAAAACTAGAACAAGAAACATGTTAAATAGATGCAAACATGCTTAAACAGAATCAGAAGAGAATGCAAAACATACATTTTGACGACCATACACCGATATGTAACCATCTTCATCTCCTAGGTCAAGGTCAATCTTCAATATCTCTACAAACGATAACCAATTATCACTATTCTTAACTTGAACAACACTCTATGCTATTGGATAGATAGCATCATATGCATCCCTTCCTAAAGCCACCAACAACTGTTGTTTGATCGTTGATTTTTAAAAACACCCATCCACTCCTATTTTTGGCTTACATCTCTGTTTCCAGGTTCTTCTTAGTACATAAAGCAAACATAGAAATGATTGAAAAGGTCATGACCAGCCTCATTCCTCAATGTGTCAATCTCCACAATAGACCCTGGATTTGCTTCCAAAATCTCATATGCGTAATCCACTTCTCCATTATTATTTGTTTCATCTTAAGAGGCATGTAATACTCAAGATCCTCTTTAATCTTGTCAAGAAACAACCTAACTATTACTGGCACCTTTAACATCCCACACTCTCCATTAGGAACACATATATGCTTATTGGTGTAATGTGTAATCTTCCACATCGACTCGTTATGCAAAGATGCACAATAAACTTTCCATTCACAATTCTCCGTAGCACCAATACACTTAAATCCTATTCTATCTCTATCGTACATATTGTAACCTGTTATGAGTGCATAGTTTGTTACACACTCCTTGAAAGCAATACCATTGTAGAACTTCTTCCCTTTGTACATTGACCCATCGCTAAGGTTGATGTGTGTGCCTCTGTCTTCACCACCACGACGTTGCTCAGTCTTGTCGTAGCTTTTTAGGTAGACGTCATAAAGGATAGGCTCTTCAGCATCCGGAAAATCCTGGGAAAATTTCTTGATGTATATTTCATCTCGATCTTCTGCTTCACCATCATATCCTTCAACATGAGGAACATCGTCAGGGGCAATGATTAACACCATCACTGATGAAATGAGGGGAAGCAATAGATTTAGTTTGGTTTAAAGCTTCAAGAAAACGATATGGATTTGGGATTCTAGGGTTCTTCAAGAGAGAAAGGAGTAGAAATTGATTTGGGGATTTTGATTTGTTTCTAGGTTTAGTTTTCTAATCTGGTTGGTTTAGATTTCTAATCGGGTTGAAACAAGTTTAATCTGGTAATCGGATTCGTTCTTTGGTTAATAGAACAGTAAACCAAGTTTTAACTGTATAAACCCATATTTTTGGAAAATTGGATGAGAACTATTATATTCTTGGGTAAATAGGAATAGAACTATCGATTCAGGGGAAAATATGAAGAGAACTATTGATTCGAGTAGACAAAAGACGAGATCAAAGTTTTGTGTAGTCCTGATATGATGCGATAATTTTTGGGAAGAAATAGGTCGTCGATCCAAAATCCATACATTTCATATTGTTGTCATAAATAGTTAAGACCAAACGAAAGGGAAAAAATGAAGAACGACATTTCAAAATACCATTTTCTTTTCACACATTATTGAATAAAACATTAGTAAGAAAATAAATAAACAAAGTAAAAATGAAGGGATCTCTCGGACTAAGGAAGTATCAAACTTCCCAAGCGACATAAGACATTACAAAACAAAGAAAGCTATAAGTAGCAAACTGATCATGTAGGGGTGTTCAAAACATGAATTGTAACAAAGAAAAAGCAACAAGAGGTTGTTATTATGTGGCTAATGCTTTTGGACGATGTCTTATGGTCCGAGACGATAAGGTCCATCACCCATGTAATGACCATCCATGTATAGAGCCGCGTGGTGCGGGTGCTGCAGACCATCCATGACCATGAACTGCATGTCTTCAGATGGTTTCCAGTGACGCTTTCTTTGGTTTATGAACCAGTTATTGATTTGTTTCTGGTCTAAACCTGTTGATTCCGCTAATGCCACCTTCTCTGATTCCTGTCATACAAACTCAAACCAACCATATCATCACTTTTGTAATAGTCAATGTATAAAGAGAAACGCTAGATAGAGATAATCAAAAACTAAATGTTTGGAATGTAATCAATGTATTAAAAGCAACCGTTAGAGATAATCAAATACCGGTTTTTAAAAAAAATGGTAGATAATTGGACGATGATTACTACAAAACCACAAAGGTTGTTGTTTTGAACGATTCTTAATTAACGTGACGACTAAGGCTATAAATGGTTGTTGGTTTTTGGATTGTAGATTTTGGTTTTTGGTTTTTAGATTTTGTGAAAAAATAAAGCAAAAATATTAAGCTACATTTTTGTATAGGAAAAGTGAAAAACTCATGTAAAATGGTTTGATATATTCTCAATGAAAATTATGACAACTTCGAAAAACTAGATTCCCTATTTTTACAAAATTTGGAATGCGTAAAGTATAATTAATTACTATTATTTCAAAACATGTAGATAAATATATCATCACAAACTTCATACTCCAAAATTAATTTACATCTTAATCTTAAACTAACTTATGCTATTAATAATTGATGTTTATAGTGACAAAAGTTATAGATATATGTGTAAGAGAATAGTTTGGAATGCGAAGACTAAGATATATGTAGCCTAGAACTGACTAGTATTAGTTGTCTTCATCATTTGTATTTAAAACCATGCATGTATGTAGTTAGAACTATAAGGATTTGAAGTTTTGAACACCATATTACTCATGTATATATATAGCCTAGGAGTGACTAGAGTTAGTGTCTTCTTGAGCCATGCATGTATGTTGTTAGAACTATAATTTAAACACCATACTGGTCATGTAAATGCCTTTTCTCAAAACACTTAACAATAGTAAATATTTTTATAAAAATCTAAAGGTATAGAGTGATGAGAGAAAATTTATACGTACAGAAGGATATGGCCACTTGTAATGCAACTCCCACCACGTGAGAAGCTTCTGCCTTGCTTCTTTAGGGAGTTTACCTTTCTTTTTCTTCTTGGACAGTTCTTGCTTCAAACTGCTCAAGTATCCACTATACTTCTTCAGCAAATGGTTCTTGAGTTCCCGGTCTTCCGCCCTCGGGTCTATTTCGGGTAATTCTGTTTCCCCTCCACTGTTATTCTCTTGTTCTTCATCTGATGATCCCATTCCTTCACTTTTCCCATCTACTTTGATCAACATAACATGTTTTCATGAATTTGATGTTTTAGTCATTGAACAACCTTTTTATGATTGGACTAATTAATCTTATCGAGTAGAGAATTTATAATTTTGCATAATGAAATTGAATCTTCACGAGGAGCACCAAAAATCCTTGTGATAGTACTTTGGGCCGAGTGAAAACAAAAAAAAAAAAACCAAAATTAAGCCCCACCCCTCTTTGGATGGATTCCACAATGGGGAAAACAAGAACAAATATGCAAACCAATTTGTATCTTGCATATTTCCAACAATAATGCATCTCAATTATGTTAATTTCTTTATAATCTTAATTATAATTATAGGGTATAAATGTTAAGATATTTTTTTACAACATTATACCATATGAACCAAAAAATTTAAAGCTAGCCATTAATTTTATGCAGTCCATCGTAAGCCCTACCTTGCCACTACACTTTGTTATCCACAATCATTTGGTACATGTGCGTACATATATGCAGAGCCAGACACAAGGCCAAGCAAGCAAAGCATAGGTTTACAGCCGCTAATAATATCATTTAGTTTCTTTCTAATTTACACAAAAAAAAAAGGTTTTGTGGTCTAGTGGTTTAAACTGTATAAGCCATGACCCATGTACATAACAATATATACAGAAAAGTATATATTATATCATCAATTCATATAATATTGTGTATGTATATATATGTGAGATTGATGACATGTACCAGGATTGTTGAGGATGTGAATGGGACCCTGACACAACATGCTAAGCTGAGATTCAATACGACGTATAAACTCCATTGCTTCTTGAATGGGCCGTGTTAGCTCCTCACGATATTTAACCAACATGTCACAGTATGCTTCCTGTTCATACCAATAAAAAAAAAGAGCATTAACATTATATACACAATAAGAAACAACCCAATTCAAATTTTCAACTTTGCTTAGTAATTTAACCATGAATTGATCCAATTCTGGATCTTTCGACGAGGTGGACAAGGACGGTGTTGACCGCTGCTGCCGCGCCTCGAAGTCTTGCCGTGCCGCGGTAATTCTATCAACCACCTCAGGTGGAGCTCCAATCTGTATAAGCCATAACTCATGAACCAAATATATATCATAGAAAACTATATATTATATCATAGTAACAAGGAGAATATAAAAGAAAAAATGAAAAAAAAAAAAACCTTTTGGCAGTCCAAGTAAGCTTGAAGGAGAGTAGAGTAGTGAGGATGAGCAATGATCTTGGCCTTCATGGCTTCTACATCGGCGACGTTGTCATTATTAGTAGCATCTTGAGTATTGTGAATGGCTCTCATCAACATGGAGTAGTGATTGATCCTTGAGGAGCTAGCTTCGGATTTAACAGATGGGTTGTTGGGTTGATCATGATCGGATCGGAAGCAATTCTCAGTTGTTTGAGGGAGAAGAGAACTCATATGTGGGAACAACATGTGTTGGTGATGTTGTTGTTGATGATTGTTATTAGTATTGTTGTAACCAGGACCATAATTGTTACTATTATTATTATTATTGTTGGTATCACTTGTGTTATCGTTTTTGTTGGAAGAAGAAGAGATTGGAGAGTACAAGAAACTTACTCTATGAGGAGTAGAGCTGCTGTCATGTTGGTATTCTTCCATACCCAGATGAGTAAAGAGAGAGATAAAGAGAATATAAAAAAAAAAATCAAAGAAAAAAAAAAAAAACCCTAGAAAAAATAAAAAAAAGAGATGGGTGCAAAGATGAAGGAGATGTATGTATTCTTGCTTTTGTTCTTATTTCAAATCAAAAGGTCTCTCTGTGTAAAAGACTATAACCACATCAAATCCAGATGACTAGACGAGACGACTCATCTATGAATCAAGAAAAGGCCTAACTCGAGAAAAAAAAAAGTATATTGTGAGGTGAAGTTGCACCACCACCAAACAAAAACCAAATAAAATTGATATTTATTTTGTTTTTGAGGAAGAAAAAACGAACTAGGTATATAGAATTCGTCAAGGAAGTGACATGGAAGAGAAGAAAAATTAGAAAAAATATAAAAGTGAGAGAGAAGAAGATTGAGAGATAGAGAGAGAGAGAGAGAGAGATTAACAATAATGAAGAAGTTGGGTGGCTTGAGTGGATTGACAAGACGTCGTTTGCTTTGAGGAGCACAAAAAGAAATATTTGAAAATTATAAAAAATAAAGGTAATGAGAGAAGGGACAAGAGATAAGGCAAAGGCTTCTGTTTTCTTCTCATAGGCTATTTTTATTATATAAATTTAAGTTATTTTTACTAAAAAAATTTTTTTTAAAATGTGCTTTGAAAATTTTGGAATTAAAATGTACCACTCAGTGTTTATTAAGCAACTAGGTCTTCGGGGCTACTTCAGCTATCGTTTCTTGCTAGGTTGAATGACATATTTTGGTACACTCTTTTCTGGTAATTGAATGTTTTTTTGGGTTAAAAGAATAGTCCAAAAAGTAGAAAAATATGTATTAACCTTACTTAATCTTATCTTTTTTTTTTTTTGAAACACACTTAATCTTATCTAAATATATCTGTTTAGATTAATAACAATGTACTGTGCGGTATAGAGTATACCGTTTTTATAATTATTGTTTTTTATCGTTTTTCCGTCCGTTTTGATAATTATTAATCATAAAAGCGTTACTAACATCGTTACATTCAGATCTTTATAATAATTTTATGTACTACTTTTTTTTACAATTCTACATTATTTCATAACAGTTTACCGTTTTATTTTATAGTTTAAAATGTTATACTACAATGTGTTACCAATCGAACCTATCAATTTTGGATGTGTAAGATGTTGGTAAACTATCAAATGGATGAGAGAGTATAATTGTATTGGTTATTGGATAAAAGATTTCATAATAAATCAAGAAAATAAAAGAAGAATAAATTTTATAAAAAAATTTGCTTTACTAGATTGATAGTGGATATTATACGATATTCTGCTAATTCCAACTATTGGCTCTATGATAAGACCATGCTGCACACACACTTCTTTCAACACTTAGTTCTGTTCCATGGTCAACATTCAGATTTTAGTTTTTTATTCATCTCAAATTTTTTATTTTTCATGGTTCATGAAGCATATAGAGTACCTATGAATTCTATTTTATGCAAAAAGAAATGTAAAAATCCTAGGGTTCTTTACAAAAAACACGTCAAATCCTAGGGCTTTATGTAAAAAATAAAACATTACTCATCGACAGTGTTTTTTATTTTATTTTACTACATCAGTGCAATAGACTTGAACTTATATTTGTGAGTCTGTGACCGTTTACAAGCAAACAAGAAAAATGTAAGGGACAGTTGTAATAGTAACAAAAATATGAATAAATATACAGTATATATATTATGAAATTAATTAGAATCTTACTATATAGTTTTTTCAGTTTTATTGAAAGTTATTGTGTTAAAAATTACACTAAAAACACCATAGTTTAAGTTTCTGTCAGAGATGCTGGAAACATTCGTTAAGGTTAACTAGATCTTTGAATTCATGACTACCTTAATATTTCAAAACATAAGTGTAATAGTCTTTTAGAAAACAAACTACAATTAAGTCTACGGTCCTCAACATCATCCAATGACATGGTGATTCAAAATGACAATAATACCCATAACCATATGATTTTTTAATACAAAAAATAGAATTTTGTTTCCAAAAGTGTGTACAAATTCATAGAATTCTATCTTTTAGATTAGAAAGTCAATTATAATGATAAAATAATTCAGTGAACTGTTTTCTAATAACTATATTAAGGCTTGTATAAGGTTATTTAAAACTTGCAACGAAACAACTTAAACAACCAGAGGAAATTAAAGGAGGAGATGATAAGCTAGTCAAATCTGGAAAGAAACGACACATTTATCAATTGGCCAAATTAAAAGAAAAGAACCTAAAGGTTCTAAATAGTTAGGGCAATTATTAACATTTTAATCCATTCTATTTTTTAAGCAAATCAGACAATAAATCGTTACATACCATTTATATTTGTATATAAAAATGGTCCGTAGTTAAATTGCGAAATTTTTATTGATACATATTTAGTCTGCGGTAAATAATTTTATGCAAATATAAATTTAGTCTGCGGTAAATAATTATCTTTTCCAAAAATATAATGACGATCAATTCCTTAACGGTTATACCATTTTTAACAATTATATTTTAGCAATATTTTAACCTAAAATTTGTAAAAGAGTGTACCTTATTAGTATATTTTATCCGTAACATTCATTCAAAACCATATAGATTAGTAAAATAATGGTTAATGAGTGGAAATGAAAAAAAAAGAAAAAAACCATAAACAAAAAGAAATAAAGACAGAAGTGGAAGTATAAGAGATGCGTTGGATATGTAATTTTTATTCAACGATTAACAGTGTAATAAAACAATTTGGCAGTGAAAAAAATGACTGACTACACACATTACTGTTCATACTGCTTCAGCCCACGTGCGTGCATGTGTCTCTCTATATAATCATCATCATCATCTCTCTGTTCGTGTAGTGTAGGTTTTATGTTCCGAGGGTTTTTATAATGTAAATTGTCACAATTGATACACACTACAATTTATGTTTTTATTCTTTTAAACTAGAGAGCTTCTATAATTAGAAAGACACATTGTGCATATGCTCTAATTTAATCTGAGTAATCCATAGATTTAGAGTTGTGATAAAATAATTTGGTACCTTCATTAGAGCACTCCTAGTGGGAATCTTGCAATTAGAAAAAATGTTATAAAAGTTAATGGAAAGAATGAAAAGAATAATCTTGAAAATATTTTGACATATTTTAAGGATATTCATTTCACACATATTTCTCTTTCTAATTGGTTTGTTTTTTTAATATAATTTGAATTTTTTGGTTTACAATATATATATATATATATATATGAATTTTTAATTGCATATTTACATTATATAAGAATATTAATTTGAATTCAATAAGATACTCTCGAAAAAATCTCACCAATGGAGATGTCCTAAATTTGTTAAGGAACATGATATTTAATTTAAATAAATATTTTTTAGCTCTAAGTTTCATTTTTGTTTTGCTCTCGCATTTTGGCAATATTAATTCATTCAAATTGTAAATTTTTTTAAAAAATATCATTTTCTGTTAGTAAATTATTTTTTTTTTGGAAATATGAAATTTTTGATGTAAATTATACTGTTGGTAGTGTGTGAAAACACTATTTTATTTTATTTTTAATTAATTATACTATAATTTTTTAACTATTAAACGGTATAAAAATAACCTAGTTAAAAATGATTAAATTTATGTTATGGTTGTAATGGTATCTTATAGAAATTTATTTAATTCATACTAATCGTTAAATACCCGGATTATTCTAATTTTAATAATACCAAAAGCCAAATTTGGTTAAGTAACTTAGGATCAAAATTGTAACATGCAAAATTATTGTGGAAGATAGTAATAAAACGTAATTATTGGTTCCCAAATTTAAATTAAATTAAAGTTAGATATTAATTATTAATAATTTAATTTCAAATATTGTTGGTTCCTCCCACATTTAAGTGTTATGGTATTTTCCAATATTTCCTATGTGGATTTATTTTGCTGTTTTTTGTATAAACGTTCAGTTATCAATTACTATTTTAAAATCATTATTTGAAAAAAAAAGTATTTAAGAAAACAATTATAGCTATTTTGGTAGATATTAAATATCTTTCATGCAATTGGCGACGCCATCGCCTTATATCTTTCTTGTTAAGATCTTAAGCTATTATATACCACCATAAATTTTATCTTATATGTCAAAGACATGAATGAAAAAAAGTAAATTCTTATTTTTCATTGGCGTTGATTGATAAACTTGTACAGCTGGGTAGAGAATATGCCACTTTAACAGTATATCGACTTTTTTTTTTAATCTCTATAGTTATTAATTTATGATATTGATGAGATCATATACATAGATATTCTAATTATATATATATATATATATATATATTAATATTTTTATTTTTATTTTATTTTATAAATTTTATTAATTTATAGAGATTTTAATATTTTCATTTTCTAATACTACTTTCATTTCTTAATACTATTTTATTTTACCGCTATTTTGTACCACTTTTAACTATTACAGTAAGGATTAGTAAATTCCTTCTTCAATTTAGTTGCATCATTCTTTACTTCAGATACACGTTCTTTCATGTTAGACGGCCACTCGAACCTGATGGCTTTAAAGGGAAATCCTACTATAAATGCATTAGAAACCATATTAGATAGTTCTTTAGTTTTTTGTACACTCTTTTCGTACAGATAAAATATACAATATTTTTATATAGATAGTAATAAAATAAAGGTTTAATCGTAATTCTAATTGTTGCTTTCTTAACAGTTTTAATAGTAAATGTGATTAAAAATCGTAATTATTAGAATAAGAATCAATTAGGAAAAAAAATATTATGTTATTTTTTCCTTTTGCCACTTTAGTTTAAATATTGAAGGAATTTCAAAATATTTCTTTTGCAATACCCATTTTCAAAAATATCACTAAATGTTTGTAAATTTTTGATTAAATTTTCAACTATACCCCTTTTATAAGGTTTTATATAGAATAACAGGTTTAATTAATATTTTAATAGGTTTTATAAAGCTTATACCATTTTCAACTATACCCTTTTCAAAAAAAAAGATACCATTTTCAACTATACCCCTTTTATAAGGTTTTATATAGAATAACATGTTTATATTTTAATAGGTTTTATAAAGGTTATTGAATGCTTTAAGATCGTACGTAACCAAAGTAAGTTTACATGGAAATCACTGAACATTTTACAAAATGGTATAATTGAAAATCTCAAAATATTTCTTTTGCAATACCCATTTTCAAAAAGATCCCTAAATGTTTGTAAAATTTTGATTAAATTTTCAACTATACCCCTTCTATAAGGTTTAATTTATATTTAAATAGGTTTTATAAAGGTTATTGAATGTTTTAAGATCGTACTTAACCATAGTA